ATGAACATTGGTCGGACATGATCAAAGAATATAGAAGACGATGTCATTGTGCAAGTTATGCTGGTTTTTGTTTGGTATATCTAGAAAATTATATTATAGAAAATTAATTCTTTCCTTGATTCAAAAGTTGCCCATAACAATAAAAACATTGGCGATGACAGCGTGATGTCAGATCATAATGTTACTGTTACTCACGAGTAATTCTTGTGTTTCTAAATGGTAAAACAAAGAAACGACGTAACGACGAAACAACGAAACAGCAAAACAATATAACTACCACGCTGTTCCATACATGAACCCTGTATTTCATTTTTGCCTATTTCTTGTTCTATAAAAGAAAACTGCCTATTTTTTTTATTTTTTTGTTAACATTTGTGCATCGGAAATAATCTGTCATCGCTCTTTCGTTGTCTCGCCATTTAGTACCACTGTAATAAGTCGCTAAAGCAAGTCTTTGGAATCTAGCAGAACAAACACTTTCTGGCATCATGGCAACCTAATTACGTCAATCAAAATATTTTGCCAAAAATTCTATGAAGCAATTTTTTTACTAATTTATACTTACTTACCAAATACTTTTTGTAGGGACGAAAACCATCAATACAGAGTACGTGGACATCAAAAGTGCTGCATGATCCATTACAAACTGAATCTGAGGGATCCATTCATTGGTCAGTTACAAATCACGTTTGTTTTTTATTTAACAAATAAATAAGTCTCAGCCGTGGTTTATTTAAGCAATGAACGATAGTTTCCCGTGGTATCCTGGCGAAATAAACCAAGCGGGATGGTTGGGAGAATACGAGAAAAGATCAGTAAATCACGAGCCGTTAGCTCGTTAAGCTACGCTTAGCTCCTTCATCATGCTGGATAACTTGTTGACCCCAAGTGGTCGATTTTCATAACAAACTTCATCTGTGTGAATCCAGTTGCGTTTAGGGAATTGGAAAAAAAGCATCCCTGTTTGGATTTAGTTTAGAGATGCACTTCTTCAAGGCTGTGTAACCATCCATAGGACTCGGGGTTTGATACATTCATTTACACAGCGCGTGCTAGAAACAAGCTATAATATAAACTCTCATAAACCACACTTTTTTGCCAACCAGAGCGCGCGTTAGAAATCATTTAGTGTAATAAAATGTTATATCGAACAAAATTAGAAATAAAAAACATCGAAGGGGAGAACATAAGGGATTTGTGGAACATAGGAATTTTAATAACATTTGAATAGATGTGTGAACTTCGAGCTTGTCGGCAAAAATAGTCTACATAAGCTTACAATAATCATTCGTATTAAACGCGGCAAAGGTTCGATGTTTAAACCCTTCCCTACTCGAACTTCACATCACAGAAAATTGTATAAGTTACAAACATATATATATTTTTACCTTTATTATTCAAACTTCCGATATATTATCGTTCAATGGACATCTTCAACAGAATCATACTTGTTTCAAGAAAAGGTCTCATCAATTTATTAAGTCATAAGGATGTAATTTTGTTGATGTGTTTTTAATTCTCTCTGAATCGAGTTCTGCGGATGGTCTTGGTTTCAACGAAATCCCCACACTTCTTGTTGGCAAACAAGATTCACACAGATTGTTGCTTTTCCCCATATTTTTGCAGTATTTCCAATATAGCATCATCTTTCTCTTGTTGTCGAAATGTGAATGCGAAAAGTCATCCTGCTATTCATAAAAACTGAGCCTCAAAACGCTTGGCGAAAGTAAATTGCTTTTCATCTTCGTAAATCGATTTCCCGGATGTGCGGACGCGTCGAAGTTATGACAAAATTGGCGGGAATATTTCTGTGCTTTGATTTTGCTCTCCTCTGGATTTTTTTCTTGTGATTACTTTTTCTAATATTATCAATTTGGAAGATAAGTGTCTGAGAAAAAAAATCGATATTTCGACAAATATTTTGTCGCTTTTGGAGCATGGTTTTCCTGTGGTAGTACACGGAATCCAGGAAGGAAATGTGCGTACGCGAGGGAACCCATTGTCGGTCTATCGAAAATCGACCCGATGGATATACCATTTTTTCTTAGCTATAGTGCTCCGCTCGCTCGGGCCTTCGGCCCCGCTACAATACTTAAATTAAATTGAATGAATAGATAAGAATCAGCAAAGTCGCGTATCTTACTTCAACCAAGACAATAGGAGAGGGATAATTTTATTCCGAAAGAGGCGAATGAGCTCATTTGAGCCACCGGCCATCATGCAAAAACATTTGACTTGTTTATTGTGATGTAATCTGATTGTTGTACTTTTTTAGTTTGAGATCTTGGGACGGACTGTGCAGCGGCAGCCAGAGGCGCCAACTCAAGCTCACAGTCTACCAAGACTCTCATGTNCCTCCTGATAATTATTGCACAGTCCCTAACGACGGAATATTTAAAACCACTAAATTATGACGAATCGCAAATGTCCCGTTATCAAAAGTTCAGAAGAAAATAGTATTCAATTGTTTAACCGTTTCTCACAAAAAAATGGGTTCTTCATACTGCACAATTTATCAAGCCATGTCCCATTTTTATTAACAGCAACGCACTTCCGTCCAGAGACTGATGGTTTGGGCATTTCTCTTAGGAAAGGTATGAACTGACCAACAGAAGTACCGTCAGACCAAATCAATTGACCGGTGTTTTCTTGATCGTTCAGACCAATCCACGAACCGTGCTCATTCCAAACTAAGGAATCATGAGACGATGAATAAATCATATTTCTTAATGGAAAAAACTAAGTCAAGTCAAATATAGTAATGCATCATAGCAGGAACCACCATGACCAGCGAGATACTGGAGGTGGAGAAAGGAAGTTTTTCTTCGAATTTTCTATTGACAAAGCAAACTAATACTCCAGTTTCGAATTCTCCAATGCTCTGTGTTAGCCTCATTTGTGCGCAAAATATTCCTATTTGTGAGAATAAAAGTGTGAGATTTCAAATCAACACTATTGTCTCTCTTCAAATTCCATGCGTTTTCACAGGCTGTCAATAAAACAAAAGAATATGTTACTTGGTTTTGAGGATAACACAGAGCAAACCAGAACTCGAAATTGGAGTATTATGTTTCAGTAGGTTTCCATGCAATAGCTTGTGAAACGTTATCTGTAAACCAATAAATCGTATTTCAGTGAATACTTACATGTAATTGTTTGAATCTCATTGATATCCAACGCTCTTTGAATGACCAAGATTCTCTTAATGTACCCATAGAAATTTTTGATAGCTCCCAAAGTAAGCTTCATCTTGTTTTTGACTGAGGTGTGTATGCTGCTGTTCCAAGTACTAAAATCTATCCCATCCATGACGACATGCCGAATACCAGTAATGATATTAACACTGAGAACAACATGGTGCCAGACATCAAAATCCATTCTTTAAACAAATTAATAAGCAGTGAATGAAGGATTATGATTAACGAGAATAAAACAAAGAAGTTCGTCAAAAGCTATCAGCTTATCAGCAGTAGTTGAATCCAAAATACAATAAAACTAGAAATGGCTTCCTTTGCAGACCTTCATAATTTATATGTCAAAAGACAAACATATATCTTAAAAAGAAAAAAAAAACATATAACAGTACATTGAACATTTTTTATTATTTTTCATCCCAGGAAATATTTTTTTGTTTTCCCCTTTTGATAGCATTAATATTAACTTTGTTAAGGTTCAATCAAGTCACAATAAATCTACTAATAACAGAAGATCTCGTTATTTTTAAAAGGTTTGTTAAAGGGAATTATATACTAATACGTTTTCTCGCGAGAGCACAGTAGCATACCAACACGTTTTCTAAAGGCCGATTTAGACAGTACAATTTTTGTCAACAAAATGTGCATGAAACATGTCTAAGTCATCATGTACTACAACTACACTACAACATGTAGTAGGGATTAAAAAGTACAAATGTTTRATAACTCCACGACAGTTGTAGCAATGTTGTAAAGATCACTTAGGCATGTTCMMTGCGAAAGTTTGCAGACAAAAGTTTCACCGCGTCTAAACCGGCCTGAAGACCAACAAAATTGCAGGGAGCTAGGGGTTGTTTATCAAAAAATCCWTCACAGTATACGTATTCCCAGATCTTCTAAGCTGCTGCAAAACTTTGTTAAGCTGAAAACTCAGCCTTGTGCAACTTAAAAAAAGAAACGGCAAAAGGATACAAATTTTRTGGTCAAACAGAACCCGAGTTCACGTAGCTCTATAGTTACAATTTAAAGTGAGGTAGCTCGMCGTATAAATATTGTCAAGAGATGATTAATTTAAAATGTTMWGCAGAGGATTGTTCACTTACWTGAAWTGWTWTGTASKTTCGGACGTTAATAGGATACTGAAAACGTTCCTTCCCGTCTTGTAGAAAAAGAATCCAATTWKMGATGACTGTTGGTTATAGAGTYKCATAGGAYGAACCCAAATACCACTTGKGCCATCGGTGAGGGGCTTYATCCAAAAAGCAATGGTAAACCCGTCTGRACTGATATCGACYTCAGGAATATCTGCATATCCATCGGCTTTACCACTAAAATACAAAGCAGTCTCTCCATCTACGGCTTTGTACAGCACATCGCCAGCCGTTCCTTTTAGTCTGAAATGCAGAAAGATGATGCAGGCATGTAAATAGATAAAGATTATAGAATATTAAGCTAAATCTCTTAAATATAATTACTATTTAATTATCATAATTTCATTTTTTTTTTTTTTTTTTGAACAACAGTTGAATTTCGTGGTCTCTTTTACGCTGTGTTAACCTCAATTGCGTGCAAAATATTCAGAAATTTAGATGAAAACTCAGTGAATTTTTCAAAATATTTCCTTTGTCTTCTGGTCACTTATCTCTTGCATTTGCATGGGTTGTGAGAATTCATTACATGGTTTTGAGGCTAACACAGCGTAGAACAGATCGGTAAAAGGGTTTATTGTTAATGCATGGGAAATAATGTGGTGAAATAAACTCTATTGATCATGCTAAAGAATTACTTCATTTCATTATTTTATTTTATGTGTCTTATAAGGACTGTACAAGTATCTCAAAGTTTTTCTTTTTTGCATAATATTCATTTTCTCTTTCATCATTAACTGTTTGGAGCTAGTATATCATTTATTTTTTAAGTCGATTTTTTCGTTTTTCTTCTGTCGTTTATATATTTGTATACTGTAGTCGTTTTCCTTGTTCGCGGTTTYCTGAGGTGGTACATGAACGAAAAGACGGAAGGAAGGAAGGGAACGTGCTTACGCACAWAGGGACAGACCTAGTGCCCAGTTAGGGATACTGAGATCTGTTATGAAAACAACTTACTCTACACTCGGCGAAGATTGGTTCAACAACAGTTCTTGGTAAGGTACACCAAAGTCTGGGACATCTAAAAAAAGAATTGTGATTTTTTTTAATATTTATTTTCGATCTTGAAGTTGCTCGCATTTGAAAAGCAGCATAGTAATCTTCTATAAAGCTACTTTTACATGTGTATTTTCAAAGCATGTTTTTTGGAACAAAGCTCCAAGAATTTTTAAAARTTATGTTTTGTAATCTAGTGTCGTTTTTTGATTCTATATTTTGTTAAGAGATATTTTCTCGTTTCGCCATACCATTTCTATAGGTGGGTATGCTCAGTTGCTTCAGAAAGACTTCCTTCACAAAATCATTTTCGTGTGAGCTTGTAATGGAGAGAAGATCACCACCTAACGACTGACAATAGTGACGAGCATCGGTCCAGTTCTTCTTCTCTGAAAATAGCTTGATAGCAGCGTCTCCATAGCGACGCCATCCATTGCCAAGATCTACAATAATTATAAGTATTTCCATAATTAATATGTTATCAAAAATAGGAAGCTCAGGTTTACCTTAGGTAGCACTTGCTATAGAAAAAGAAAACTCTATATCATTGAAGTCGCCATGAAATACAATTAACATGAAACGCAAATAAAAAAAGACACGCAAATAAAAAAAACACGCAAATAAAAAAGAAAAAATAGGAAGCTCAGGTTTACCTTAGGTAGCACTTGCTATAGAAAAAGAAAACTCTATATCATTGAAGTCGCCATGAAATACAATTAACATGGCCATAGCAATCATGGCAATGAAATGGAAAACCGACCATCGTCAGGATAGCTGAAAGATACTAATTAAAACAGCTCGAAACCTGAAAAATTTCCCGTTCTTCAAGACTTGCAATACTAAAAGCAGGCCCCACGCCCCTCCCCCCAAAGCTTGAAAGGTCATGTGTTTATATTTTTGATTGTTCTATTTTAAAATTGTTTTCTCATGAACTATATTTTTGTTATGAACTGTTCATTCTAAAACCCAGTTCCTACAAACTATACCTGTTGCATTGAGTATTTCAGTTTAAAAGCCAATCTCGTACCCAGAACCACTGTCCCTCCTACTCGCAGGCTCACAGGCTCGACGAAAAACAGAGACTCTGGAAATTTCGACAATTTCTCGCTCTCTGATTGGCTCATAAAATATACATCTTGCCGCCGGAAGTGAAAATATCACCGAGAAAAACACTCAAGTCATTCTGTATTTCGCTACCTCACCTTCAATTCTTCCTTTGAAAGCATTTATTAAGTCTATGAAGTGGGCATTTGAGAGAAATATGATCAATTAAGTATAAAATGGAATACAGCGAGACGACGAACTGTCACGCCATGATAATCACTAACSGTCACTGTCTGCTGCGATCTGATCATAATAGAYATCAAAATAGCTTCGAAGAAGATAGATTTCTCATCTAAGGTCTAAAAAATCCCTTTTCTGACTTCGAAGGCTTTCATTTAGCCGATTTTCTTGAGTAAAATCAGTAAAATAAAGCCGTTAGATCGGGTTTCTATTGCGCATGGGTGAAATAGCCTGCTGGCTTCCGGTGTTTGATATTTCCAGAGCCCCTGCTTTTCGTTGCGAGCCTGCAAGTAAGAGGGACAGTGGCGCTGGGTACCAGRTTGTTTAMGAGCCTGAAATAATTGTACTAGGTTATTTATTATACCAAAACATTGACAAAAATGTGACAAAAAGGCACTTGGTTACATCACTTAGACAAGAGTATCTTTCTGCCGATGTCGACAACAATTTGTSTTTGACCCGACTAAAACTGGAAAGATCTTTAAATGAGCAAAAATTCGATTTTCACAGAATATGTCAAGATAAAAACGTCCTTAAAAWCACGCTTATCGCTTGTTTAGACGTCTTATTTATTTATTTTCTCTCTTGTGGCTCCGACACTTTCAACAGTGACTGAAATGGTACCGTTCTGATAGGGCTGCTGAGCACAGAGGCGGCGGGACTGCTATTTATTGTAACGCAAAATTGTGGACTAGGCAAAGATTCGACCTTAGTGCAGACCTGGACATTGAAGCTACTTGGCTCGAAATCACATTCCCGAACCGGAGCAAAATGCTTGTTTGTTCCACTTATTGTCCAGATTAAGAATCTTATCGCAACTACAAGCCTGTTCTTGAAGAAATGCTAGAGCGAGCAGCGGTAAGAGGGCACTGAACAACTTTTATTAGGAKATTTTAATCAGGATTTACTCTCGTCTGATGCAAGAGACTTACGCCAACTGTTTACATCTTATCAGTTCACGCAACTTATTAAAGATCCTACGCGTTTTAYTGCAACTTCTCAAACGCTGCTTGAMCATATTTATGCTTCAAATGTAGACAAAGTCATCGCGTCCGGGGTCGCACAATGTTCCATAAGTGATCATTCACTTAATTACATATCTCATACGGCGATCAAAACAAAAACGAGGACCTTAAATTAGTGTTATAGTCTGCTCATGAACTTATATATTTAGGTATGAAGCTCAAGGAAAATTCATAGGATGTCTTGTCAATGCATTGCATTATTCACTCGTCATCTAATGATGTTAATTATCTATAATATCCCAAACTCCATTTTGCTATCATCAAAATATGAAATGGTTTCCATACCTTCTTTTCTCTTGCATTCATGTATTTGACATGTCTGGCGGGTACCAGTGACATTCTACAAAGACAGCCATCAAATAAATGTCATAAATTGTCATTTCAGAAATGATTACAGGAATGAGGACGGGTTTCTCATACCCTAAAATGTCTGTTACGAAGCTGCGATTGCACTAAGGTTGATGTTTAAAATTAACARGCTTKTGRATTTCARTTAGYCGATRCCAATCWARACATAAATCGGGACAAAGAAAGACTAATCAGACGAATGAWATCACTATTTTTCGCATAAATTATCTGCACTCYACAAATTGTATGTGGATTTTATTTGATGGATGATAATTTTTGCTGTTGATAAGCGTTATTGACCCTTCGTAAAACCGGCTCTTAATTGCAAATGTTTGTCAATACGTACCGCCATTTCATAGTAAGACCATCCTCCTCTYTTCACCAYCTTGTGTGGATTTGCTTTTTTACTWGAGTTRTTCAACTCACATACRAACATTCCTTCACTTSTTTGRCGMACATTTATMGAGAAGCACCATGGMARCCAAACGCAGTCACCCCAACAAAGATTGAGAATTGGGTGGTTTACAGTCTTGATCACGTGACCATCAAGAGCCTGCGAGACATTGCTCTCCACGAACCGGTAMACCTCACAGCTGTAGATGGATTGTAAATGAGTAACCAAGAAAGCGTTGAGTAAAATAAGGGCAATTATACCCATTTCAAATGTAGCAGTAGAACGATCTGTAATAAAAAGACAATGAAAATATGTTATTTTGGTAGAGTTTATTTTTTGCCAGCCGAGCGAGAAACTCCTTCGAATCATTRTGCACACGATTTATGGATTGTTCTAATTGATTGGCTAGCTTCTTTGGTTAGATAGTGTACTTACTGGCGGTTAAGCCTAGTGGCATGTAGTACAGCAAAACAAAATAATAGGTAATAATTAACAATAATTTGAAGTTGTAATATTATTTTTAGAGGAAGCTTGGTAAGATTTTGCTCATTTTAATCAAATTGTGAAACCTTTATTAAACTAATTAGTAAACTTCAAACTTAACTTTTTTATTCATTAAATGTTAGTTTGATAAGTCTTCAAATAACTTATTCCATAGTGTGCTCATTTTGATATTTCTTTTTGCTCGAACAATTTTGTTTTTGTTTGTTTGCTTGTTTTTTTTTAAGAATTTAGCGTTTTTTCTCCGTTAAGGACTGCGCAAAATTTAATTTTATGTGCTTAAAGAGGGAGGTGGGTGAGGGGAGGGGGGGGGGGCTCTAGAATTAATTAGAACTTTAATTGGAAACTGAAAAATCAAAGGTTAAGATTTTGAAAAAATGCTTATTAGAGAGGAAAACCTCAAGCAAAACGTTTAATATAAGTACACACAAGTACATGCTGTCCGCTATTTAACCTTTGGATAGTTGAGGTCAGGTGCTTATGATTAAATCTGATCTTATTAAGAATCTAAAAAAACATCTATAGATAAACTTTTGTAACCTATGTTAATGATTTGTTTAAAAATTCTTAACGAGATAAAAGATATTACATGGTCGCTAGGAAATACAGATTTATCTGCTAGTGAACAGCTGGACACGAGAGCATAAAATCTGTATATTAAAGCTTTTCCTTATTACACAAGCTCTATTTAAAGAAAGAAATAAACAATTTGTATTAAGTATCCATGTTAACGTTTGAAATATCATTTTCTCGATCGAGAGGTATTTCATTGAAGATGATTATATTTTAATCTTTAAAAAGAGCATTTCGTAGATAAGAAAACACTGAATCAATCATGCACGCATCCAGTGGGAGTTAATCTTAATAAAACTTGGTGTAAATCTCTAGAGATCATTTATCATTTTTTAGATTTCACACAAACTCAATTTGTGTGAATATAGTGCGGACATTCAGTGTAACAAAGGTGTAAAAACAT